GTAGGCGTGGAGGTGGATATTATAGCGGACGAGGTGGAGCATCGGCAGGAAGGGATGCCGCAGGCCCGCCGCGGGGAAAGGGCGGGCCTCGGCGGGCCCATTCGGCCCCGGGGCGCCGCTCTCGAAGGCGGAAAAGAACCCCTGCGCGCCCGGGGCCAGGCGGTGCTCGAAGCGAGGGTCGGAGGAGGAAATCAAAAAGTAGTCCCCGCTGTCGATGTCGATGTCGGCGATGGTGGTGGAGGTGGTGATGTAGATGTCCGTCCCGTTGATCCTCACCGGGGAGCGGCGGATGAGCGTGGAGAGGTTCATGAAGAAGTAATCGCCGTCGGGGTCGTCGTCGGGGCGGCGATCCGGTCGTGGAGGGGGGCTCGGCGGGATCCTCGCGGAGGCCGGGGCGGGAGGGGGGGCCGGAGGGGGATACGCGTGAAAAGGCGGTTGCCCTTCACGATAAAGGGCAGCGCGAAGGGGTCCTGCACGATCGTCTGGTTCCCAGGGAGGATGTCGAAGCGCGTCTCCACCGCGGCGCCGTGGGTGTCGGTCACCCAAATCAGCTCGCCGTTCGCGAGGTCGCGCGCGGAGAGAAAGCCGTTCTCGTGAAGAAAAAAACACATACTCCGAGGGCGAAAGTTGTAGTGCGTCGCCACCGCGCCGACGTCGTCCCGCCCCGCCGGGTCCGCCCCACCCCACATCGCCATCAGCGAAGTCAACCCTAAAAGAAGAAAAACGAAAACGCCCAGCCTCATCAATAGAAGACATTTGAGAAAATTCCTGCCGCTGTGTTGGGGTGCATCTCGACCCTTCATATATCGATGGTGTTTTATAATAAGACCCTCAAATTGGAAAGTCTACCGAATTGGGCTGGACAAACAAAAATGACTTAACAACAATAATAGTATTAACTAAGCGTCGAACAGCAAGGGGAAGGGAAAATATTATATCTATAGATAATTCGATGTGATAATATGGTTGAACGTGCAATCCTGTCGATTTGTTTTCTTGTTACCTACCTTTTTTTCTTAATGTGAACAAATTCAAGGATTATCTCACTGTAATATGTAAAATATGTGCGTGCCTAGTCCAATGAGTTATGTTTAATATGAATATCAAAATGCTTCATTTTAGAGTATCAAAGACGGGAAGAAAAAGTACAACAATACGAATAGGTTATGTAAGACAGGCAATACTAAAACAACCAGAAAATCTTAATAGGCTTCTTTTTAACAAATATACAATTCATTTAACTTCGGCACATACCGATAAGAGGTAAACAGAAATAGAGATTTCCT